CTAAAGTTCCTTTCATGTGTGAAATTTGTGACTTTTATTTTTTTGAGCAACTATTACATGCACTGCTTATTTCTTACGGTTATATAAATCATTGTTGCATTAGTGGAGGGGAGCTAAGGGGGCTAATATTATACCATATAACACCTTTGCTGTCTTTTATCTTTCACAAAGAAAGACCCATGGGAGAAATTTCTCTCAGGTCTCAGAACCAAAAAAGCATGATGGGATTTTTTTTTTTTTTTTTTGAGATGGAGTCTCACTGTGTTGCCCAGGCTAGAGTGCCGTGGCGTTGTCCTCGCTCACAGCAACCTCAAACTCCTGGGCTCAAGCGATCCTTCTGCCTCAGCCTCCGAGTAGCTGGGACTACAGGCATGTGCCACCATGCCCGGTAATTTTTCTAGTTTTAGTAGAGACAGGCTTGCTCAGGCTGGTCCCAAACTTCTGACCTTGAGCAATCCACCCGCCTCGGCCTCCCAGAGTGCTAGGATTACAGGTGTGAGCCACCGCGCCTGGCTGTCTCTCTTTGTTTTCAGAGGCTGTATGGTATAGAGGTTAAGATCCAAGGCTCTTGGGTTTGATTTTAGTTCTACTGCATATTAGCTGTCAGGCTTTGGGCAAATTTCTTAACCTTTCTATGCCTCAGTTTTTTCATAAGCCATTTTAAATAAAATTTGGAAGTGTGTGTGTATGCAATTATTATTTAAAATTGTATTAAGACTTGATACCCATCAAAGCCTACTAAAAATTATTCCCATGTTTAGGGCATGTTTCCAGTCACCACAGGCAGGTTACATGATCGTTAATGAGCATAAATAGATGTGTAAATGGTAACAGTATACAAAATGGACCTGAAACCATCCTTAGCACTTAGTAGGAACTTAGTAAATATTTGTTGAATGAATGAAGTATAAAGGAGGCCCACCCAGTACATTAAAACTGGCTGTGTCATTTTGGAACATCTATTACTATCCTTCCACTCTGTGTGGATGTTCCTATTGCTTCCATTTTTAATCAAATATTCTTTAAAGAACCAGCTGTTAAAAAGTGAGAGAAAGAAACTGTGGAAAGTAGGCCATCTTAGAGGAGCTGATCTCTTAGAGTCTGCTATTATTGTTTATCTGACAGCCTAAAGATGTACAAAAGGGACTGTCTATCTCAGAGTTAAAAATCGGTGACATCCAGGCAAGGCATTCAAGGCCTGAAGAGACAGCATTTGTAAAAGTGTAGAGCAGCATTTTTAAACCATGTTCTTTGAGACTCTGTTATACATTGATATGTTTTAGTGTTCCTACAGAAAAAAATATTTAGTTTGTGGTATATTTTGTTACTAGATTCCCTACTCTTGGAGAGTCACAATATGTAAGTACACAGTTTAAAAGCTTTGACAAGTTCTGTGATTAAACAGCAAGAAGAAAACTTGTTTAACTTTGTTTAATCTGGTGTTTCCTAGACTTTTTTTAAAATTTAAATTTTTAAAATTGTGGTAAAGTATACATGGTATAAATGGTACATAAAATTTACCATTTTAACCATTTTTACATACATAGTTCAGTGGCATTACGTACAATCATGTACAGCCATCACGACCATCCGTTTACAGAACTTTTCTCTCTTCCGAAACCAAAATGTAGCCATTCAGTACTTTTTCCCCTTACCATCTCCCTCCAGGCCCTGGCAACCACCATTCTACTTTCCATTTCTGTGAATTTGACTGCTCTACATACCTCACGTAATTGGAATCATATGGTGCTTATCCCTTTGCAGTTCACTTATGTCTTCAAAGTTTATCCATGTAGAAGCATGTGTCAAAATTTCCTGCACTTTTAAGGCTGAATAATATTGCATCATTTGTATATACCACATTTTGTTTATCCATCTTTACCATGTAATTTTTTTTTTTTTTTTTGAGACAGAATCTCACTCTGTTCCCCGGGCTAGAGTGCCATGGCATCAGCCTAGCTCACAGCAACCTCAAACTCCTGGGCTCAAGCAATCCTACTGTCTCAGCCTCCCGAGTAGCTGGGACTACAGGCATGCGCTACCATGCCCGGCTAATTTTTTATATATTTTTAGTTGTCCAATTAATTTCTTTCTATTTTTAATAGAGACGGGGTCTTGCTCTTGCTCAGGCTGGTTTCGAACTCCTGAGCTCAAACAATCCACCCGCCTCGGCCTCTCAGAGAGCTAGGATTACAGGCGTGAGCCACCGCACCCGGCCAGGATTAGTTTTTTAAATGATTTTTTGATCTTTGCATAACTGATCAGAGAAAATAACTTGTTCTTATCTGCGTTCTGAATGTCTTTGTCTTAGAAATCAAATACAGCTTTAAATAATCTATTGCTTTTATGGGAAATTGAAAAAATACTCTTTTGGTTCTGAAAAATAGTGTTGTTGTAATAAGTTGATAGTGTCCCAAGGTGACAATTTTGAAGGGCATATTGAGGAGAAGCTCTTGTATTAAGAAAAAAAGGCAATCCTTTGTTTGTAATCACACTTACACCTGACACTCATATATGACTTATCTCTACTACAAAATTGGATAGTCCTTAGAAGTTGGACAGCAACACTTATTGAATTCCTGCTATGTGTAACATCCTTTGTTACCAGAAAGGAAGTAGTGTTATAGTCCCTGTCCTTGTGGAACTTATAGTCTAAGTCTTCAAGTACACATAATAGTAGGTAAAAAGTGACATATACAATAGCACATGTCCCAGGACAGTCCTGTGGGAGTTCCTTACCAGAACTAGTATTGAGTATTTGTTGAGGGAATCCTATAGATTCCCCAGTGTATGAGGTCATAGTGTCCTAATAGAGACGCTGTCTACTGGTATTGGAGTGTTTTGAGGCCTCTGTTCTGGAAGGATAAAGTTGGGGAGTTGGTGTGTAGCTTCAGATGTGTTTGCCCATTCCTCTTTTCTTCATAGGAGGTGATGGAGCAGATCCATTTTCCTGAAAAAGATTTTATTGAGGGTACTTCAGTATACTATTGTTGCTTTGCCTTTTGCCATTTGACTTTTTGGTGCCAGAACACCCATTAAATTTGTGGCTTCTTATTGAAGCCCTTGTTTTTGCAGGGGTGAACCATTCAGTATGAAGTTGAAAGCACCTGCCCCTTTGCTGGTGACTATTTGCTTTCCTTTCACATACAGAAGACAGCATATGATTGCTGTATGAGGATGTTTGCAACTCTGGTGATCTGTGATGCTATAATTCTGTGACAAAACAAATAGTTATAAGTAATTCTGTGGTATATACGTCTTTTTGTGGTTATAGAAAAAGTTCTTATTTTTATAAGTGAAATTTAAATCCTTCCTGTTAATTTTGTTATTTTTTTCTGATTAATATACTTAAAATGGTGGATTGACATTTGAGACACCATATGTCTCTGAAATTTGATACTTAAAAGAATCCTATGGTATTGGGAGATGTACTAGGTCTGTATTAGGGTATGAACTTTGTGATTGGGATGTGCCTTACCTTTGCATATCCCATTAGCCTCAGTGTAAAATAAGTACTCAATATATTTAAAGGAAAAAAGTGAAAATTAATGTAATTCTCTTGATTAGAGATGCTCCGCAGTTAAACTTCCTTTTAATCTCAGTGTCTTTATTTTAAGACCCACTAGGTGTTATCCCATAGAATGATGCGCTACCAGACAAAATATTTTAAACCTCAGTTAGCTATAATGATTTATTAACTAGATTCTCTCAAATGCTCAATTTCTAGAAGAAACAAATGACAAAATCTGGTGTTATAAGGTCTTTCTAAAAATAAATATCTTTTAGGACTTTCCTAGGAACATATTCAATCCAGCTTTGACATTCCTTGTACTTTGAAGTGATTTTGGAGGAGCAGGGAAGTGATCCAGATGCAGTGTCCTCTATCACAAAAGAAGCACAGACTTATTTTATCTGCCATGAACCTACTAAAGGATGAGATACTGATATATTTTAGGACTACTTTAAACAAGAATTGAAAGCTGAAGTTAGTAATGATATTTTTACCATCATCATCATTATTATTAATAGCAGCTAATATTTATTTCATTATGTGCCAAGTACTCCTTTGAGCACTTTACCTGCATTATCCCCTAATCCTGTCATTCCTGAAACCTCCATTTTATGAACGAAGAAAGAAAAGAGAGGCTCAAAAAGGTTATGTCTTTTGACCAAGATCACATAGCTAGAAAGTGACAGGGCCAGGATTTGAACCTAGTTCTCTCTTTAAAAAAGAGCCTAGGTTCTAACCACTGTCTTGTAATTTTTTTTTTTTTTTTGAGTATCATTTAACTGAGGAAGTACCATCTGGTTTCTAGAGTAAACATCACTACAGTTTTAACAGGATTGAGGGAGCAGTTCTTATAATTAGTTTCTAAAATAAGAAATTAATCTTGTAGTAGGCAATTTTGATTAGTAAGTTTTATTTTAAAAGCACAGTATTATCTTAAAAGAAAGGAAAAGACGTTTATTGAGAAAAATTACTTTGGTGATACGTTTTTGTAAAATCTCTAGTAACTCAGAAAGCATTGTCTGTGCCCTTTTAAACACTTCACAAATATATGACAGGAGGGGAAATGTAAACTGATGAAATACAGTTTCATACTTTAGCACATCATTTGAGGAAAATATAACTTGTTCCCCCATGACCTTATAAAGTAATGAGAAGACTGCATTGGAGTGAAGGGAGAAAGAAAGGAAAATTTATGGTTTTAACAGTAGTCATGTGCGTTGAATGGCCTGACTAAGGAGTTACTATTATTTGTTTTGCAAGAGAGCAAGCCTTCCTCTCTGATTCCATGGAGATATCATTGACTAGAGCTGCAGCCCCTAGTGCTTATAAGGATTTCCTTTCAGCTTAGATTTAATCCTTTTAAGCTCCTAGGTACAGGGATAAATGTTGATTTTCAAGGTAGCATTTTACTGCATTGAATTTGTTTGAAAAATGATTCAGTCATTTTCTGCCTTATTCTTAAATATTGCTGTGTACATCATGTTTCTAGGTAGGTGAGCTCGTGAAACAATATGAAGAGGAGAAAATAGCCTTTTAAGGAAATTGGCCCACAGAAAGGATGGCCTTCTTGGACAATCCAACTATCATTCTAGCTCATATTCGACAGTCACATGTGACCAGTGATGACACAGGAATGTGTGAGATGGTTCTCATTGATCATGATGTTGACCTAGAGAAGATTCATCCTCCTTCAATGCCTGGAGACAGTGGGTCAGAAATTCAGGGAAGCAATGGTGAGACTCAGGGCTATGTGTATGCCCAGTCAGTCGATATTACCTCAAGTTGGGACTTTGGTATTAGAAGACGCTCAAACACAGGTAAACATTGTCTTCTAGTCATGTATTCTGAGCTTTGAATCAGTAAACAGTCTTAACGGATAATGCATAATGTTGGAATAAGCTTAATGGGAGAAGCTTCTGTGTATTAATAGGAACATGCATGTGTCAAACTGAGCTTGAGCAACATCTCCATCTCTGCAACTAAATGGAAAGGACCTCTGGAATGTTCTTAGAAGGAAGTAGACAGAAGAGGGAGAGGTGAAAAAGTTGGCTAGGAGAGATATATAGGAGGTTATCTTTCTAAAAAATCATCTGTGGAAAGGGAAATAGTCCTGTTTTGAGTGTCTTCACAGAGCAACATTAGTCCCAGTAGATTGACTACCTAGCGGCAGAATTCAGTTTGATGTAACAAAGAATTTTGAACTGCCAAGACAGTTCTTGCCCCTGGAGGAATTGTAGGAGGCTGGGGGAGTGGGAGGAGACTTCCAAGTATTTGTTAGTCTGGTTTTAATAGGAATTAAAACCTATTAATTAGGTTAATAGTCTGGGCTGGTTTTAATAGGAATTCATACACTGGGTATGAGATGAGAAAAGGTGCTCCTGTTTTTGATACTTTGCCTTTATTTTCTTAAGTTGATCACTAACCTTTGATATTTGTGGCTTGAAAATACTCAACTTCAGTATATACTAATGTATTTAGTCATTAGCTTTTAAAAGCTTATCATTGCCCAATTCCCAGTTTATATTTTTTGGTGGCCTTTCAAGGAGCATGTTATGAACCAAGGCCTTTT